GGAGTACTGGAGGTCACAGATGTGCATAAGAGATACAGATGTGGGGTATCTGAGATGTGGGGACCAGGGATGTGAGTCTGGGAGCAGGTCTGGAATGTAGGGTGCAGGTTCTCTGGGATGGAGACTGTGAATTTTGGGGAGTCATAAATATAGGGTGTGAGCCATAGGGAGTGAGTTTTGGGGGGAATCACACGTGTGGGGTGTGGGAATCACATCTGTGGAGTTAGGGGTCAGTAATGTGGGCTGGAGGCTATGAGGGGAGGAGTCCTCTAAGGGGGGTAAGAAAGATTAAGTCTCAAAGTCCTACAGCGTACTTTTGGGGGGAGGGAGCTGGTGCTGCCCAACCCCCATCCCCTGCGAGGATTGGCCCGCTGGGTTTTGGCGGGAGGGACAGTGGCTCCGGCTGCCCCTCCCCCCTTCCCCGCTTGTGGCGTGAGACTCTCCAAGGCTTTCCAGTCTCTCCTACTCCCCAGCGCTGATTGGTCAGCTCTCAGATGTCTCCCTCGAGGATTGGCCGGCTGGGTTTTGGCGGAATGACAGTGGCCCCGCCCCGTCTGAGGCTTGTGGCGCGAGGCTCCCCGAGGCTTTCCAGCCTCTCCTACTCCCCAGCTCTGATTGGTCAGCTCTCGGCAGCTTCCCTCGAGGATTGGCTGGCTGGGTTTTCGCGGGAGGGTGTGGCTCCGCCCCGCCTGAGGCTCCGCTCACTCTCAGTTGTCACCTGCCGCAGCTGCTTGAAGGACGTGGCACCCGGAACTGGGCCTAGGAGGAGAGGACGCGGTTGCCCCACGAGGGAGCCGCGTGGGGGCTGCTGGGCCTCCGCTCTCCTCCGAGTGTGACAGCCTCCGATCAGGAGTCCCGCGCGGACAATCCCCTGGTGCTCCCTCTCCTCGGGGGGTTGGTTCTCAGAAGCCTCTTTCTTCCCTTAGCTCCCACCTTGACACCTGGGCTTCTCCCCCACCCCCGTCCGAGCCCCTCCTTCCTCCCCCTAGCTCAGCACCCCATCTCTTCCCCTCCCCCCAGGTCCCTCAGAATGAGCAGGGACAGCTCCCCAGACGGGAGCCCGGAAGAAGATGAAGGAGAGAAAGGGGGGCCGCGATGTCAGGTGAAGTGCCTGCTCACTGCGGGAGGGGCAGGGCGGGGCTGCGGGTCAGAGGTCGATGGGACCCCTCAGAGCCACGCAGGGTCAAACAGGGAAGAAGGAAAGACGGACGTGGGTGGGACATTCCCCGTTAAAGGAAAGGAATGGGAGGAATCCTCCCCCACCCCCAGCCCATCCCCCACTGAGGCTTTGGCTCCCGGGTTTTCTCCTGGCCTGGGGGTGCCCTCCAGGACCAACGCCTACGCTCATCCACCCCGCCCCCCACCGGACATCGCTACACGGATGCCCCGCCGAAATCCAAAAAGGAACCTGCTCCGACCCCTCCACACTTTCCAGTCACCCGGTCGCAACCCAACCCTCCTCCTTTTCCCTCTTCCTCAGCTGTCACCCCTCCCCCTCAGGAATCAGGTGCCAAGGTCTGTCCACGCCGGCCCCTCCCCCAACGGCTCTGTCCAGCATCATCCCTTCTCACCCTAGTTAGTGCCCTTCTCCCATCCAGCCTTCCCACAGCGTCTTCCTAAAGCGCAGCTTCCTGTTTAAAGCCCTTGGCAATCAGACTGTTTCCAGACTGATTCCACGTTAGTCCTTGTCGGGCATTCTACATGCCATCCAAGCCAGCCTTATTGCATATTCCTTAGTTTTCCATCTACTACCTCCTTGCACCTGCACATTTCCCATGCCCCAAATGCCTTCCTTCCTCACCCTCACCTCAGCCTTTTAGAACTTTAGGTTCATTTTAGCCACCACCACCCGTAGGAAATCTTTCTGTTTTCCTTCTGATTGTTAGTGTTCTTTGTCTCCTTAAATCATCTTGTATTATTTGTATCTGTTTACATGTTGAATGCCTCAGTAAGACTACAAACACCTTAAGGGCAGGAATATTTTTCATTTTTGTCTTTGTATCCCCAGCATCTAGTGCAATGCCATGCACAAAGTAGATAACAAATATCTGTTGGATTGAATTGTATGCCCAGGACAGTGTCTTACATAGTAAATTGGTGAAATTTGAAATGTCTATGATCATTGGTCCAATCTGAGAAATGGGAAGAGACAAGAGGACAGCATGATCCTTTAGCTAGAAGATAGAATCTCACTAAATGTCCTTAGAATTCAGGTGATACTTGCTGACACCTAGTGTTTTCTCCTCCCTAGGGAGAAGACACTTTCAAGGATATATCCATGTACTTCTCCAAGAAGCAGTGGATGGAGCTGAGAGAATGGGAGAAAGTTCGGCTCAAGAACGTAAAGCAGAACTATGAGGCAATGATTAAAATAGGTAATAGAAGAAGCTGGATAAGTGGACCAAAAGAGAGAATGGTGTTAACCAGCCTTCAAATGCTCAACCCACACCCACCTTTCTCCTCCACTTACTTTCTCAGCTTCCACAATTTATAACATACTTTCCTTCTTTATTCAATGATCTCCTTTAGGCTAGGGCCTGTGTCTTCATGGTTGTTTTTGTTTTTGTTTTTGTTTTTTGCATTGTCTTGATGTTTACCAAGTTCAGTCCATATTTTTGCATCCCTTGCAGTTTCATGAGCTTACTGACACTATCTCCCCACCCTTAATGCTCCCCTGGTGTTTTTCTTATAAATGAAAGTGATTTGGTTTTCTTTCAGGTCTCAGTGCCCGTCGTCCATCTTTCATGTGCCACGGCAGACAAAATAAGAGAGCCAAAGTAGAGGAATCTGGAGACTCGGATGAAGAGTGGATACCTAAGCAGCTAGGTAAGGACAGGACATGGTTGGGCCTATAGGAAGGGGACTGGAAATAAATGAAGAACCTAACTCTTCTCCTCCTCCTGCTCCTGAGAGCCATGAGGTACAGCGCTTCTCCCAAATCCTTTGAACAAATTAAGCATTGATTAAGGGCTGAGCTGTTAGACATAATATTGTTTATGTGATTGTTAGAATTCTAATTTTCACTTGTTAAACTGCAGTTCTTCCAGAAAGCTTTTAAGGTTTGATTTCACAGTTTGTATTGGGCTAAATCTTTAAGAAGAAAATTGATTAAAAAAATAACTTATTAAATGAAACTGATTAAATTAACTTGTGGTTAATTAAAAATTAAAAGCCATAGGTTTCCTTCCCAGTTGTTGGGGGTGGGTAGGGAAGGGAGTCTCCAAGGAAAAGGGGCTAACTTTTTGCTGTTTCAGTGCATTTCTGAGGACCACCTTTTAATTTTTTTTTAGAATTTTTACAACTTTATTAACATGCAAACTGATCCTAAGCATAAAATAAGAGTAATTTAAGATGCATATATATTTATGACGTAAAAATAAGCATTAATGTATTGGATGGGCTTGTTTTTATGTACAAAGTTTCCCAAAACATGGTGTCTTTCTAATATGGAACTGTTATACATGATTGCACATATATATCCTATATCAAATTGTTTATTGTTTTAGGGAGAGGGGAGGGGAAGGAGGGAGGGAGAAAAATTTGGAACTCAAAATTTTGTAGAGGGCAGCTAGATGGCACAGTGGATTGAGCACCAGCCCTGGAGTCAGGAGGATCTGAGTTCAAATTCAGCCTCAGACACACAACACTTACTAGCTGTGCGACCCTGAGCAAGTCACTTAACCACATTGCCTAGTCAAAAAGAAAAAAAAACTGTAAAAATGAATGCTAAAAATTGTCTTTACATGTAATTGGAAAAATACTATTAAAATGATGTCTTTGATAACATCACAATTCATAATTCTTTTTTAAACTACTTATCTTTTTTTTCTCACAATAATCTCTCCTACTTCCTCCCTTCTCTTTCTCCTCTCATATCACCAAGCAAATTTTAAAAACTCCAAAACACAAACCCCTCAATAGGTACATGCATATCCTGGCAAAACAAATTCCTACATTGATTGTCTCCAAAAATGTATATCTCTCTTGGTGTTTTAAGTTCATCACCTCTATGGAGGAGATAAGTGGCATGTTTCATCTTCATTCATTTGGACTCATCATTTCATTGATCAGAATTTTAAAATATTTCAAAATTGTTTTCTCTATAATGTTATCATTGTATGGATTGTTCTCCTCTTCTCTCTACCAGTTCATAGAGGTCTTTCCATACTTCTCTAAAACTGTCCATTTTGTCATTTCTTATGGCACTATAGTATTCTATTACATTCATATCTCACAATTTGTTTAGCTATCCCTAATAGGAGCCTTAGTTTCCAATTCTTGGTTACCATGAAAAGAGCTGCTGTAAATGTTGTTATATAGGGAGGACCACCTTTTTTAGTCTTCAATCTGTTCTTGCTTCCCTTTGTTTAGGATTTCTATAGGGTTTTTATCTATAGTTTTCTGCTTTACTCCCAAACTTTCTCACATATCCCTGACACAACAGACATCACATGGGAAGAAGAAATGCTAGATTATTTGGAGCAAATTTTTAGCTTTTACTTGTGAGGAACAGCAGAATGTGTTTAATCTGTAACAGCTCCGCACTCTTTGCCTCCATTGGTCCAGGAAGCTTTATAAAAGCAAAGAGCTGGTTTTCCTAGATAACAAAGAATGATCTAAGCTATCTAGAGGCAAAGAAATAGAGTAAATCATTATTACCCAAACTTTCCTGGAGCCAGGGAACACTTACCCCACCTTCTAAGAGGCAATGACATAATGGAAAGTGTATGAGACTTGGAGTCTGAAGAGACCTGAGTTCAAAATCTACCTGTTCCATTTATTAGATGTGTGACCACAGGCAAATAACTTCACTGTCTCTGAGTTTGTCTTCTTTCTAATATGGAGAGAATCACATCTGTTCTAATGACCTCCTAAGTTTGTTAGGAGGATCAAATGAGATGTTGTATGTAAAGCACTTTCCAAACTTTAAAATTCCATACTAAGGTCAGTTACTATTAATCGCCACTGGTAGAAACTTGTCGAGAGATAGTGTGGCTGGATCCCAGAATACTGGGCAAGACACCCTGCTGAAATCTCATGGCAGAACTTGAATTAGAATTCCACAGGACAGGCAGTCAGGGACATATGGTGATATGCATTCTTGTAGGAAATAACCACATTGATGGAAACCACAAATTCATTGGAATATTGGCGTAAAAACCTGTCCAGAATGAATTCTTGGGGAGAATGGAGCAGATAAGACCTAATGAAGTTAATGTATTCTTTCGGTTAAATATAATAAAAAAATTATTCATTGATGCCAGAGAAGAAAGTATAAATGCGGTCATATCTGTAAACATTAATACTACAAGAATCCAGTTTGCAGACTACACTTTGAGAACCAGTGGACTAAATTTTCTTCAAGGATATCTGTTAGCCATGTAGCTTTATTTTTCTCAGAGACCTCATGAATCTTTCTAGGGTTTGATAATGGCTACAAATCAAAAGTTTCTTTTATTTCTCGTTTCCTTTTTAGTGAAAACCTTCCGGTTCCCATCAAGAGTAAAACAGAAGACACATCTAAGGGTGAGTTTCTCCCAGAATCGTGTGGTAGGGACATCTCTCTGAGGAAAAGTTGAATTAACATAAAAGTAAAAGGAGCAGTTGTGCAAGGTACTCTGGGTTTGAGAGACCCACAAATACTTTCTTTCTTATGTAAGGGGCAGGGGTGGGATTTGGTCACAGAAAGTGAGTTATGTTAATGTGTTAACAAGGAGTTAAACCTTGTTTGCCTTTTATGAAGTGTAACTTTCTCTCACACTGCATTTCTGTGTTCCTGTCTGTTTGGAGATGTCTGGAAACAGTCTGTCTACTCCCTGCTGGGGACATTTCAACTGTATTTCATGCTCTTAAGCTGAAGAACTCTTGAACTCTGTTGGATGGTGGGATATCTCTTACTGGGCCAATAATTCTACTTCAAAGCGCCATGATTGGGAGGGCTAGAGGGGAGGAGGCAGAAGACAGAAGAAGAGACAAATCCCCTCTCTACCTCCTGAGAGTCGCTGGGATCTTCTGCTGCTGGCTCCAACTGTTAGACTACCGAGTTAACAACTCAGCCTTTTTAAGGTCTATTGGGGCAACCAAATTTTCAGCCCAGCAAATGTTATTGCCCCTTCCCACTCCATTATAGAGAGATATTCCCACTGTGTAAAAGGATAATAGGGTATTACCACCTTTTTTTTAACACATTAACACCTGATCATCTGTGGCTAGTCAACCAAGCTGGGGGTAGGGGTCAGGAGAGAGAACAAATACCTCCTTATATTCATGTAAAAATTAAGTATAATTGTCATTATAGACAAATATATGTATTTTATATATATATATATATACATATATATATCAAATATAATAAACAGTGTCGTTTGCAGGAATAATCCCAAAATCTGAAATAGTCCTTTGGTAGAGAAGAGTGAGACAGAAAGGAAGTGTGACTCCCTCTCTTTCAGGCTCTGAATTTAGACAAGGGTGCCTGTACACAGTTAAGTAATTTTTCTGAGGGGACAAACTGAAAGCAAGGTAGATTTAGATGGATATCAGTAAATATAAACACTTGAGAAAATTTTGACAAAACCAAAACACAACAGGAACCCAAAACATAAGCTTGGGTGGATTCAAAACAAGACCTGGGTGAGGGGACCCAAACAAAGACTATTGGGGATGGATTTAGGAATTGGGGGAACCCAAAATTCCTTATAGCCTTCTCTGGCATTCCTAGAGAGTTATTGAGGTCAGGGAAACATTCTGGGTTCGAACAATGTCTAGTTAAGTAAAGTTAGGTCCAAACAATATTAATAAATGATAAATAATAATCCACAATTCCCTCTTTTAGGCTTAAAGCCCACATTCTCATATTAGCAAAAGCATAATTACAGATGCAGAAAGTTGGGTTATGATTTCAAAGGGAGTTGATTAAAAATAACCTTGACTCAGTGGCATCTTTCTCACTATCTATCTCATCAAGAGCTTGATAGAATTCTTTTAAGCTGGAGTAGGGGCCAGGTTGGTGACAAACTTTTCCCAATATCTCATAATCAGAGGGATCAATTTGAATAAGTCTCAGGGGGTATAAGTCAGGGAACTTAAACTTACACTAGGAAACAAGTGTACTATGGCCATGAGTAAAACAAAAAAAAAATCATAATACCATGTTTCCTTCAATGTCATAAAAGCTGAACAAGCTTAGCTTAGGAAAGATATAATTTCATATATCTCTTAAGGGAATAGACCTTGTTAAACAGACTCTATAGGTAAACTAAGTCAGGTTGCAGATTAAACTATATTTAGAAGGTTCACAATGGATTGATTAAGAGGGGAGATTTATTACCATTTGACTAGGATAGCTAACAAACAACTAAATAACTTTATGAACTCAAACTTCCCTTTGTCAAACAGTTAACGTTATTATTTTATAAGTCAAGTTTTGGTAAGATGAGGTTAATAAAAACAGAAAACAGGCTTTCAGTTGACAAAAGTTGTAGGAGGAATGGCCCTGATCCCTGAACAATAAATAAAAGGAATGTGGGCATACCTTTCTTGCAGGCAAATATAAACCCATGAAACCAAATAGTCAAAATAATACAATAATGATTATCAATAACATAAAGTCTCCCTGTTCCTGGTAACCTACTTCCAATGTCCATGTAATCAGCACATTTCATTGTGAGTCCCAACCATCACATGTAGTTGTCTGAATCTTGGAAATATCTTCCCTTGAAAATTCTGGAATAGGCCTTGTTCACAAGGCAGCTCTGGCAGGGGCTCCTCCTAGTAGATCCACTTCTCTAGTTTGAAGTCACTTGCAGAGAATCCCTATTTAATGTTACTAAAATCTGCCAGTAGCAAAGACTTAATACAATTTAGTACAACCTTCTAAATTTGATTTTCCAGTAACTAGTTCACGTGGTGAAAACTAGCTCAAATCTTATGGAGCTAATTCTATTTACAGCAGAGCTATAAGAAGAACATCAAATTAAGAACTCATAATTCACCTTAAAGTTAAAAGAATTTTAGTTTTTACATACTACTTGCTCTTTCTACCTTTACATGAAACCCATGCCTGATATGGACACTGCTATCTTCAGGCTGAAAGAAGAATCTTAAAAAAATCCATTAGGTCCTGACTTGTAAAATGCGTCCTTCTGTCTCAATACTAGCAGAAACTTCAAAATAGGAAAAAACATGATTTTAAAATTTCTTTACAGTTATTAATGAAATTTTATATGTAAAAATCTTTAATCCAATTTTGAAAATGTATTACTAAAACATCCTCATGGCCTAGGTATCCCATTAGAAACATTTGGATGTGTGTGTGTGTGTGTGTGTGTGTGTGTGTGTGTGTGTGTGTGTGTGTGTGTGCGCATCTTAGTTCTTAGAGACAACAGTCTCATCTTGTTGTTTTTTCAAACTGAAATTTACTGCCCCAATAAATTTTAAAACTTTTACATCTTTATTCTATTCCCCCTTTTTGAGGCTATATATTATCCTCATATCATCCTGAAAGAATGAGATATTTATCTTATTCATGAATATATATTCCTTCAAGGACACAGACTGACCTTATATAAGCATAACAGAGGGAAAACTTCCTTAGCTTTGTTTGATTCCAGATAAGAGTCTTAGTTAACAGCCAGTCATGCATGCAAAGTTCCACATTATTCACAGGATATCATAGCCAAGCTCAGAATTAACCAGGTGGGAAAATTTCTTGTTCAGAAAGGAAATAGCACAATGGGGAAACTGAGTCAAGAGACTCCTACCTTTGCCTATGCAAGATCATCCTCTCAACCTTTCCAGGCACAAACATCCATTCTCAGACTGCATTCCCTTTGAGCAGTACAAGATCTTTCCCTTGAATGACGGACTATTGACTTAATGACAGTTTAGAGAGTCATACCTGAAATCAAAACTCAGAACAATATCAAATTATAGTCCCAAGACATTTTCCCTACAATAGAAAATTTCACTAATCATAGCTTAGGGCTCGGTTATCATTTTGGTCATGTTGCAATAACAAAGAACAATAAACACATATAAGGTGTTATCTTATTTATCCTTTCTAGTTTAAATCTGTACTGAAGCAAAAATCATTAGGAATTAAGAATAGTCACATTCTGGAATTTCACACATGTAGTAAATACATGATAGTTCATTCAAAACCCAGAAGAATACTAGCCCCCAGATTAACAGATGTCTATATTGCCTATTAACTCTAAAGGCAATATAAAATCTTTGAATCTAAGATCTGTTGTTATAAGTTGACTCAAAGATATAACTTCAATACATCCTGTTTATTAACATTAACATTACTAATTTTCATGAGCAATGGTCAAATAATCTATCAGATAAAATTCACTCTTTACTACAAGCAAACTTGTAACTCTTTAGAACTTTGGAACCTGTTGTTAGCAGCTTCTCTCACAGGTTAATGAGATCTTATGACCAAATAGAAAGTCCTGAGGAACCTCACAGATAAGCCCAACTTAAGAGGTCTGTAACACTTTTTTTTCCTCCAAATAGTAAGTTATTATCCATTTCAAAGCAAAATAGATCCAATTAAATATTTAACAGTTTTAAACTTTGTGACTACATTATTTAACAGTTAATTCAAACATCATATAGACTAAAAAAATGAAGTTAATTTTCTAATGATACAAATGTATCACCCTCTAGGTATATCTTTTTAAATTAACAGTATTTCTTATACAATGGTTTCCCAAAAATCATAGTATAAGAAATATTAAAAGCCTAAAAATAACATAAACAATATTATGTATTTTAAAACACAACACAAAATCCTTCTGGTCAGCCAAATAACATCAATTCAGTTGAATGCATTTCTGTGAGGCAATTAGGGTTAAGTGACTTGCCCAAGGTCACACAGCTAGTAAGTGTTGAGTGTCTGGTCTGAGACCGGATTTGAACTCAGGTCCCCTTTACTCCAGGGCCGGCACTCTATCCACTGCACCACCTAGCTGCCCCCTGAATGCATTTCTGAACCCTCTTATATAGAAAATCATTATCAATTTGGCATTCTGTACCAATCATATTTAAAGCCAGTATGGAGTAATTACATGTGACAAAAATAATAATAAGCTAACACTTAAGTAGTGCTTTACATATCCACTCACTGTGTCAAGCATTTTACAATGGATCTCATTTGATCCTCACAAGAACCAAGACAAACAGAGGTGAAGTGACTTACTCAGGGTCACACAGATAATAAGTGTCTGAGATGGGATTTGAATTCAGGTTTTCTTGATCCATGCAGTTTTCAAGTATATTACTTTAATGCCAAATATTAAGTATATTTTCCTCTAAATTTTGATTTATCACAATTGTCCTAATAGGAGAACACATCTCACTGTAAATAAGACCACATTATGACTTAGTCTCAGGACAACCTTCAACCAGATCCAGTCTGGATTTACAATCACAAATGATAACCTTTAAAATCTCAATTTTCCCAAGGGCCATTAGCTTAAATTACAGAAAGTTCTTACTTTACTTAAATTTACATTATGCAA